TATAGCACCAGTCAAAGCAGTAAGAGAAGATTGAAGTGACAGAGGCCCACTGAGTAAATAGTGAAACATGCAGCACATCATGAAATATTCAGCCAGGGTGTAAAAGCTCTAAATGCTTTTTCAATTATTAGCACCTGCACTGGCTGCGTACATCTAACACTAACAGCATGTTAATTGCCACAATTTGTTAGGGTAGTTGTAGGAGAAATTTCGAAGGCATGAGACATTCTTTAGTGTGTCTTCAATTCCTCTCTTACCTTCAGCAAACCCACTCTTTCCTCCTAAAATTAAGCACCTGTGTGCATACACTTGCTAAGACATACCCACAAACCTTAAAGTCACATAGGAAAACTCAGAATTCCTGAACCACGGGCAGGGTGTTTCTAAAGACTGTGAATCTTGTGCAGGAGACAGCTAAACACCTTTTTGTGCACGAAACCAGATGTGTCTACCTGAGAAAGGCACAATTGCAGACTCTAACAAACACAGGTTGAAGAGGAGGAGTGTTTTTCTCAGGTGTGCTTTTTGTTGGCTTTATATAAGGAGAATTTTATCAGAGGACAGAATCAAAACTAGCCAAGACATTGTCTTACTAGTGTGCAAAGACTAAGAGATTATAGTTTATTTTCATGCAACCCCAGGGTCCTTCCTGCTGGTCACACAGTATTCTTGTACCCTGTGCTCAGCACATGGAATAATTCCACTGCAAATCAGGGAGGGTATATTGCTCTCATTCTCAACTGCATATGAATAAAAAGAGGGCTAAGACAAGGGTGACATAATACAAGGGTATGTTTAACAATAGTCATTTAATGAGGCAGCCATTTAGTCCTGAATAGTCTGTTCAGTTCTGTCCATTCCCAGTCAGTACCCAAAAGTTTCAGACTCAAAAACTCAGATTTTGCAGTGGTTATAAATGTGTGCTAGGGAGACAGTCCTCTTTAAAATGTAATGTTGACTTCCTTGCAATAGGTTTGCTGTAAGTGGGATTTATGGTTTTGCTTTAGGCTGTTGTCTTCCAGGCAGGCTTTTTGGGTTTGCAGCTGTAGCATGGCATTTAGCGTCGTTTTCAAGTTTAATTGCACATAAGTGGCATTATATGCTCTTCAAAACCTTGAAAAGATGGTATTTTGCTCTTCATTTTAAGTCATGCGTATGTAATATCTGCCATAAGAACCAGAGAAGCTATTTTTAAACTGGGGTTATGGATGAGGGAAATTTAACTTTTGTTCCTTTCCTTCCATACAGGCTATACATGTCTTTTCCCAGCCAGAAGGACTAAATGCAGGTCATAAAAATGCAAGTCATAAAAAACAACATCTCAATTAATGCAAATACTAGGGGTTTAATTGACAGAAAGTACATTTCTTCCTATGACTTGAATTCTTGAATCAGAGGACTTTGCAGCCCTGGAGAACATAATGACTGCAGCGTTTCTGCAGTAACCTGCCAGTGTGACTCAAGCACAGCTTGACAAGGCCATCTTCAAGGATGAGGAGGCAGAAAGGCTCTAGAAACATTCAGTCCATGATTTGGCTGTAAAGGCAACAACTGTAATGCTTTGTGTAATATAAATTTTAATGGGAAAAGGGTGTCCAAATGCCTTAGGCAGATTTGACAGCTTTGGCCTCTCTGTGTGTCTATCTTAATTAATTTTTAGTGTGCGCAAAACAGGTTTGGATCATCAGATTAATAATGAGGGTGTATATGTCCAAAGTAGTAATACTATTTTATCACTGTTGTGATCAATACAGTTTTTAAATATGTAAGTCAGTGTGTCTTGTGATACACTCAGTAACATCTGAGGACAAAGTTGGACCTAGGCACTGAAGAGTTTCCAAGGTCCAGAGGCACATTCAGGGATCACTTTACTGAGAATGAAAGAACATTGATTAAAGAGAGATTGAAATAATATCTTAGCCCAGAAGATTTAAATTTAATAAACACACTTACATGAATAACCCCACCTATTGTGAAACAGAAAGTGGCTAGTCATATCACAGACTTCTCAGGCAATAATACATTATTCTGGAGTAAAAATAGTAAAATATCTCTTAGCATGATTTCATGTTGTGTGTCCCATCCTGTTTGCTTCCTTTAAGGTTCATACTTGCTATACTTCAAGCAGTAAAGCAGAGTCTAAACAATTTATGACACCGCAAATAAATGCACACATTGATTAAGAAAACCCAAACCCAAAGGTCTGTGGTTTTTTTAAAAAAACACTGTTACCTAAAACTTCAGCAGGGAGTTATATCTGATGATTCACATGCATTGTTCTTCCTTCAGCCCACTTAAGTTTAAAGCCTAAAATATTCCAATAAAGCTTTGGCAGAAGCTACTTTGAATGTTCCCAATTAGGATGCAAAGCCCAAAAGAACTACGCTAAGCTTTAAGCACTCACACTCTAAAAATTGCCTCAAACCTCAAGGCAGTTGACCATAATTGGATGTCAGATATCTGATACCACCTGCTTTGTTATAACATTCCTTTCAATTTGTATCATTTTTGTGTCTGGGATTAGAGAATTGCTAAATGCTCACTTGTGTTAAAGCTCAGATCATCTATTTAATTTTACATCTCAGAGCAGAAAGGAAACACTGATTACAAAACTAGAATGTGACATTTTTTAGAAACTGATTTATTATAGTTCCTCTGATGAAAGATAGGGGAAAATTCCTTCTTATAGGTGCTTGATTTCTGAAAGGAAAAGAAGGTGATTTGACTGGTAAACTTTGCTTTTGAAAAGTGAACCTTTCAGTGCTCCTCTAGAAAAACTCAAGAAGAAATATTGTGTTGAAGTATTGGGGGAAGAAATCCCTAACCCTTCAACAACAGAAAGAAAAACATTTCTTACTGAAAACTACTGAAGATTTCTAATCTTTTGGCAAACTTTCTTATTTTGAAACATATAGCTAACACATTCAATTAGAAAAATTAGCTGGGACAGAGCACTAAATGCTGTCTGGACATTAATACAACCTTCAAATGGAAGTGTGTTCATGGCTGCAGATCTTACTGTACCACCTGCAACTCTGAGCAGATGGGGAATGCCCAATGAGCAGCATCTCAGTCAGCTCTCAGACAAAACTACCATGGCTGCATCTTGTTGATGGATGGAGGAAGAGAATGCAGAGTCCATATATTTTTCCAGAAATTAAAAGAAGCCAACAAAGCAACAACCAAGCCCCCACAACAAACCCCTTTGATACAGCTTTTTCATCTCTGCTTCCTCCAAAAGAGAGAACACACTTAGGCCCGGCCTGTCATTATTCAGCTTGGACCAGGATCAGAGACTCCAGACAGTCCTAGGGCTCCTCTGCTGCCAGTGGGTTACAGTGAAATCACTGAACTGTACCTCTATTGGGAGAATTTAAAAACTTTGAAGACATAGTGTTTCTTTTTTTCAGATGAGTCTGACTTACGTCTTTGCCATGTAGGGAGGGCATTGATTGTCTTAAAGTGTCAGAAGATTCTGGTTTAAATGGAACATTGTGTTAATAGTTTCTCAACTTTATTTGAGCCACTTTCTTTGGAGTTGACCCTGTTTGAGAGAAATGCATGAGAATTTTCCAGTGATTTCAATGGGTCTGTAACCAGTGGCTATGAAATGACACATTCAGTGATCGGTAATTGATCACCCTGACTGAATTAGATGTTATACTTTTCATAGGAATGCAAGTGTTGGTTGCATGGTAACTTAGCATGCCATGTTCAAGGTGAATTAACCTATATCACACACTATCTGCTATCACAGTCTGCTTTAGCAGTCCTTGCAGAAGAGAGGGTCTCATCAAAGCATGCTGGTTCAAATGCTTTAAAAGCAGGAAACTCCTGCTTAAAGAGCTCAGACAATATGGGCATTTCTTTAACAGGCTTCAAAGGGCAAACTGCTTTAAAATTTGGGTACCTGTCTCTGACTACTTAGCATAATCTTACATTGCAAATACTTTCTTCTTTGAAATGTTACAATTCTATATCAAGATATTTCAAGCATTCATGACAAAAACCTGAGGTAAAGACTGTAGCTTTCCAGACAAAGCACTATTAAATCATGCTAAATAGAAGATTTTAGGGTCAGTTTATCCTGTACCTTGTGAATACAATTCTGCTAATGCTATTGTATAATGCAGTCACTTAGGGGTCTTCACCAGCATGTGAGAGTTTTGGAGTCACTTAGTACTTAGCTTAATGTTTGATTTTAGCATATAAATTAAAGAACTCTATGTGTCTGTGCTTAGAGGTAGCTTTATAGCTGGAGAGCAAGTTCATAAAAATGTCTTTCATTTGCTTCTCCTTTGAGAAGCCTTGTGCTTTAAAATGTTGCAGCAGAAACACTTAGAAGGTTATCACAGGTAGACTTGTCAGAGAAAATGGACATTGTTGTTTGGTATTAAAATCATGTATTCCAGATATGGGCATTTGTTAGTCAGTCTGCTCTAAAATGACATACTGTTGAATCTTTAAAGGGCTTCAGTTTGGGAAAGCAAAATATGATTGGGCAAATTGCTAAAATATTTAAAGTGCAGCCTGTTAAAGCTTTTACTGTGAAGAGCATCACGTCAGAAGTTGTATGTGGTAAAAGCAAGTAATTGGCTTTCCATACTTATGCCAGTCAGTCAGCATGGGGCTCTGTTCCTATCCCTTCTACCTCATTGCAGATGCCTATAGGAACTTTGATACTTATTTCAGAGGGGTGCGACTGGAAAGAAAAAAACTTTGTATGGGTGTGATGGTGTCAGAAAACCCTGTTTAAAATTAAATGGTTATTGGTATAGAAGATGATAGAAAGTCATTGAAACTGCACCCAACATTTAATTTTTTTTTTTTGTATGAAGCTTTTATTTTAAAATGTCCTCATTGAAAGCATGTTAAAGTGTAAATAATTTCTTTTTTTTTTTTTTACTTTTATCCCTCTTTGTACACAGCTCTTGGGATATCTTTCCATCCATAATTCATAGTATTTTCCATTTATGTTGTCCTCACTTGTTTTTCCCCAGGCATGACCCCTTGTTAATTCCTGGCAACGAGCAGATTGACAATATGGATGCCAACGTGAAAAAATATGATTCTACAGGGATGTTTCATTGGTGTCCAGCCAAAGACATTGAAAAGGTCATTTTGGTAGGTATTGATGATAAGTTGTGTTTGAAAAGAGGTTATTTAAACCATAGAACTGATGTCAAATGGATAAATAATTTAGTCTCTACTGTCACAAAAACCAGTGTATTTGAAATCAGGAGCAAGAGTGATGAAACCAAAGCTGGGATTTTGGTTAAGGACTTTTGATTACATAAATCTTTTTGCCCAGTGCAACAATAAAAAATTCATCCAGTATAGCGAATTTCTTTTTTGTAAACTGAAATTTGCGTATTTGGTTTAAATCTTTAGAGAATTAAGATTAGAAATACTTTAATCTTACATACCCCACCTTTTTCTTTACACAAGGCAGTAATGATTCTAGCATGGGCAGGTGTTGTTTTGACTTACCTTTTATTTATTGATATTTTATTAATTATTGTTAATTGATTTTTTATTAATTTTGTTTTCTTAGAACTTCTCTCTCAAATCCTAGTATTTCAAAGAAGCCAGAGCAAGTAGTGCTCCTGCTCTGACTCTAGCATGTTGCAGGGAGCCCTGTCTATGTTTGTTCCATTTCTTTAACTGGGAAAACCATCAAACTGACTCAAGTCATTAAAAATAATTAGGAGGCCTATCACAGTCTATTTTGAAAGTTTATGCCACTTGTGTTCATGTACTCATACCTAAGAGTAGCAAGTAACTAACCCCAGATCTCGTAGGCAAAACTGATTATGTTTGAAATGAACTCCCTGGTGGATCTTCACTTTGTCGCACTTCATAAAGCTTTTCCCAAGCCTGCTCTCTCAGATTTTCCTGCACTGTGGCGTGGTGTAGCCAATGATGGTGACAGCCCCAGTTATTCCAGCAATCAGGGGTTAAAAGCTTGTCTCCAGTTCTCCTTGGGGGTTTCTGCTATAACTCCGACATTGCCTGGAATCACAATATCACTATTTAAATAGTCAAGCAAGTAAATTCCAAATTTTAGAGATGGAGCTTTGAGATGGGGTTTGCCTGAACAACTTAAAATAGTATCATTTGTTTGTAATCAGCAAGCAAGAAGGGGTAGCCCTGCTGTACAACACTTTCTAATAGAGATAGAAATCCTTCTTTGTGGTACAAACACATTTTAGCTGACAAACTACATGTTGCCCTACTTTGAAAAGTGTTCCTCCACAAATGGTGCTGGGGAGTGACTCAGTCATCATCTCTTGGTTATGCCATGTTAGTTTTTTCCACTATCAGCCTGTGAATCTGCAAGTCTGCCCAGGTTCTTTCTGCTTCATGCATCATCACCAATAAAGACACTGCCAGCAAAATGCTTCCCTACACCTTTTCAAACTTGCAGTCCACAATTTATGTCTACATTCATATCTGTGCAAATTTAATGCTGTCCTTAGAGACCACACAAGTACAAATCAGTGCATAATTTGAAGATGATGGGATTTCCCAGGTTGTCTTCTAATTGATACTTGATGATGTCCAAGTCAGAAAAGAATTAATTTTTCTGCCCAAGGTCTGTTTTGGCCCTGTGACATTCCGGCAGTATCAGGTAGTAAAAAGGGATTTTTGCCGTATGTGGCTACATACAGACTTAGGAGTGATTTATGGAGTGACATTTTTCACATACCTGCTTTCAAGACTTGGTGTCTGTCTTGTAAAGTCTGAGTATTCCAGACACATGGGCAGAGGCATGAGACAACAGACATGCTTCATTTGATGATTCACTCATGTCTTCTGCTCTTTGAAGGGCCAAGACAACTCTCTTGGTCAAGCTGTATGAAAATCAATGTAATTGCCCTGGAGAAATTGAAAGCTCATGCATTTTTTAAGTGATGAGAAAACTTCTAATCAGAGTTCCCATTCTTCTGACATAATGAGCATATCTGCTGCATATTCCAGTCTTAATTGCACACCACCATGCTTCTGTAATTTAGGAAAATGACATATACTGCAGATCAGTGAGAGGAAAATTTTGCAGATCACCACTGTTTTCGTTTTGTTCACTGGCAAAACTTCTGTTTAATGGTACAGAGTGTACAGTCTCTTGGCAATATGGTATCAGTGGTACACCAGCTATTTGGTGGAGCACAACAATGCCAAGACGGGCTCCAGAAATTAAGGTAATTTTTTCCATGGGACTTTATTTAATCATCTTGGTGTTTGAGATGCCTGCTCAACTGAAGTAAAAAATACTGAAGTTAGTGCAAAAATTTATTCTTCCACTGAGACAAGAAGATCATTCTGGCCACTGTTTAAACGTTCTCCATGGCCCTTTTCCCTCAGTAAGTCCAATTGGCCTGAAAATTTAATATTAGTCACAAACTTGCACCTTTATTTTGTCACTGAGAGAAGCTCATATAATGGGCATCCATTGTAAAGCAGAGCAGTGTAAAGCATTCATGGATTGTTTCACAGGAAAACAGGAACTTGTCCTGAAATGGGAGCTTTGACTCTAAGAGACTATGGTCCTCAACTCACAAGAGTTGAGTAACATCACAAAACCCTGCAAGGAACACTGGACACTTAATATCTTCATTTTCAAATTGGTCCTGAAAAAACCCCAGCTAGTGATTTGTCAACTAGGGCATGATTTTGCATCTCTTTCCTATAATCCTTAGCTAAATCCACACCACTTTGTAACCAGAGTCGCAATCCACATGTACAGAAACTCGAACAAGACTAGAATTTCACCCAATATAATGTCTCCTGAAATGCCAAAGGATTTGCAAACAAGAACAATTTATTTTTTTTTTTCTGCTGAGCACATTTAATGAAATATAAATAAGGGTAAAATGAATAGCTGTTCTCAAACTGCTTCTTTGTGCATGAACAATATTGACAGTTGTATTTTTCCTGGTTTTAAACTCAATATATGATTTAAGATTCCCTTTGTTTCATTTTTCCCTTGTCTTTTTGTTTTGTTTTGTTTGTTTTTTTCTTTAGACTCGAAGTGAAGCAGCGATGACAGTTTTAAGTGGGCATGTAGTCGTTTGCATATTTGGGGATGTTAAATCTGCTTTGATTGGATTAAGAAATTTAGTGATGCCATTACGAGCCAGCAACTTTCACTACCATGAACTCAAGCATATTGTGTTTGTGGGTTCACTTGAATACCTGAGAAGGGAATGGGAGACACTGCATAACTTCCCCAAGGTTTCAATCTTGCCTGTAAGTTCAAAAGCCATATTATTGATACTTTGTTATTTAGGACACCAACTGGACAGATTCGTATTGACTTTGATCTTAGGCTTTTTTACTTTTGTCTACTTAAAGGCCTGAGGACTTAGATTTTCCCTTTACTGTGTCTATGAAAACAGAGCCCTGTGAGACCTTATTAGAAGATATTTGCTGCAGTGTTTGGTTCCTCATCTTCCTCATTGGATGAGTTTCAGCTGCTATCAGATGTATTAGCTGTGTTATGTATTGAACATTCACTGTAGTGCCCTGCATGGAGTCCGTTCTGATCTGTGATTTCCCTGACAGAATGACAGCAGTTATTTATGATGTTTATGTTTTTATACCCACAAAACCTTTGAAAATATTATTGTTACTCTGTCTACGTAATATTTATATGTATTCATAAAGACTTCTGTGGACTGGCCTGCTTTATAAGGAACATTGCCATGGCATTTCAGTTCAGAGTCCTGTGTGAACGTACAGCAAAACCCTGACCCTTTTTAAATCAATGAAAAGCTGCTATTGATCTTAGTAGACACAGCCACTAAAACTACAAAGGTCCTTTTTCTTCTGTACATCATTATGATTCACTCTTAAGAGCAAAATGTAGAAACAAGAGCTCCAGGAATAACAAATGAAGCCCTCCAAGCTGGTATTCTTAGGTGACCATAGCTATAAATGACACGTGGGACCCCATGGTATCAGCATGGAAGAAAATGCTTAGCATGTTATATAGTAAAGTTAGTTCAGATTTTATTTTTTAAGAATGCAAAATTATGAGTTTACTAGCTCTTAATATTATTTCATTTCAGCATTTAAAAATAAATCGATCAATGATGAATGTAACTTTGACTGAATAATTGGGAAAATAGCTATAGAATGAAAGGGCTGTCTTTGCTTTTTGATTAATTCAGACTGTAGGTCTTTGTTACTGAAAATGCAGTTTTAGTGTTAGCCCTTGGCATTTTTCTGTAACCTGATCCAACAGATGGTGTCACAAGATTCTCTGCTGTCACAAAAATGGTGTCAATATCAGATTTGGTCAGTTAATATCCTCCTCTTTCTGCCAATTCCTTTTAATTCCAGTCACTGTGAAGGCTAAAGACTAGGGAATCAGAATTAAATTGATAATACTGTTGAACTACTGAGCAGAATAGAATCCTGCTACTGCTTCCAGTATGTAAAGTGTACTCATCACTATAATGTGTTTTTGCAAAGTTTTGATTCTGAATTCTGAAGAGACATTAAAGAAATGCACACCAGCTTTACTTTCCCCAGTTTACACCAAAATTCAGAGTAGCTTTAGATTAATTTTTATTTCAATGGCTTAAATAATTAGTTGATGCAGCTTTAAAAACACAGAATTTCATAAAGGAATTATATCTTACATAATAATCAAGGGTGCTGAAGACCACACAGACTTCATTAGTTTTTCTTCAATTTTTTTTCCCAGCCTATCTGGTTCAAAACGGTGATATAAAGTTAAAAATAGCAGCAATTTCTGATCTAATTATACTAATTTCAAAATGTACTTAAGTTTCTGAGATTATACTTGTAGGAGCCTGTTAAAGGGAGGCCACTCTCATACTTCCCCATGCTTTGGTTCACGAGGTAAAACTTGCTGCTGATATTTGATGGAGATGTGGCTACAGCTGAATAGAAAAACATTTGTTCTGGTTTCAAAAAAAAAAAAAGTGGAGTTTAAAGTCTGTATTAAAAGAAGCCTTTAAGCTGCTGAGTAAACTCTTAAAAAGTAGGCAAATGCCAATTTTAAATATCCTCAGGCAGCCTTAATTCTGTCCCTTTGCATAAAATCATTAGGAGTCAGCCTTTAATTAATTGCACAATTGCATATTATTTTTCCCCACAGAAATCCTGCTTCACTTGGTGCAGAGTACAGACAGAAAGGGCAGGATTAAAGTGGCTGGAATAATCATAACCTAACTTTGGAGTAGTTTATAATGAAATCATACATGTTTGATACATACTGTTTTTCACAAGGTTTAATGTCTCAAAATATTTAAAGTTATATGGAATAATTAAACTGGCAATCACTGAATAAGGATTGAGCTCTTCCTTTACTGTGTGCATTTTGAATTCACTTTTGCATCAAGTATTCTCAGTGGAGTTCAGGAGATACTCACCATGAATGATCAGGAGATGAAAGACTAGGGTCTTGATTTTATGGAAGTCACTGCATGACACTGAGACAGTTATGTCTCCTCATCATTGGGGTCTTTGGGCACCAAACCATGTGAGGTAGCAGAGTAGAATCTAGGTTCCATTAAAATAAAAAAAAATAAAAAAAAAAAAAAGAAGTGAATTTCCTGGACCTCACAACCCCTGTAATGTAGTCTTAATATTCTGTAACTACAGCTGTAGACTGTGGAATGTGAAAGGCAAGTGTAATTTTGAACAAAAAAAATCATGTTAAGTGTCATATCTCAGGTTTGTTAACTATGAAAAAAAATCCATAGGCTACTGCAGCATTTTGTTTTAATGATTCTGTCCTCTGATTGAGGATTGTGGAACAGGGAACGTTGCACAAGTTGTGCCCATTAGTATAAAGTCCTGTTTCTATTTCAAAGGGTTTAATCACACAGCTTTGAAGCTCAGTGTGTTTTCCTTCTAGAAGCACCAAAAGCGTGCTTCGAAAAGGATTAACCTTTTCTGTGTATTGCTTTAGGTAGAAAAAAATAGCTTTGTCCTGATTGCATTTCAAATGTGCAGGACACGTAATGCTTTCCTGTTTAAATTGCTGTTCTTTTGCCCAAGACCATTGAGAGTTGGTAGGAGATAAATAGACATTTAAAACACCCCCCTTGCTATATTCAGAGAGCCAGAGGTTGCCACATGATAGCAACTTAAATCAAGACAATTTCAAGTCACCGATGAGATGTAGAATGCTGGCATTATTCCTGTTTCTTGTTTGTTAGTAATAGCTTGACTGAGTATTGAGACTGAACCTAAAATGCTGCCATCAGCACCAACTACCCTTTAGATTAGCACACATCTCCTATTCCCTGGCACATAGTTAGACCAGCTTAATGTCAGAGCATAAAAAAGATACTTGTTAAATAATTTCCCAAAGCTCCTTCTCAATCTTTAATTTGTTTTTCTTTTTTCCCCTCTTCTACACCCCCTTTTTTTTTTTCCCTGTGCCGAAGGGTACGCCATTAAGTCGGGCTGATTTAAGGGCTGTCAACATCAACCTCTGCGACATGTGCGTTATCCTGTCAGCCAATCAGAATAATATTGATGATGCTTCGCTGCAGGACAAGGAATGCATCTTGGCGTCACTCAACATCAAATCTATGCAGTTTGATGACAGCATTGGGGTCTTGCAGGCTAATTCCCAAGGTAAGGACTGCCCTATAATACTTCTCTGCAGTGCCTACAGGGGACAGGACCTGGCAGGAAGAATATCCCTCACTCAGTAATTCAAAGAGCCCTACATCAGCTTGCTTGACAGTTAAACCTGCTGATTGCTATGATGGCTTTTAAAGGGACAGTCACGTAGTTTCTCTGCTACATCACAAAGCACATCTTTCAGAGGAGAAATGAATGAACATGAAACTGGCATTTTTTCTCATTTTAAAATTTTTCTAGATAATACATAAAAACGTCGTTTTCTCACTGTGGCTTCCTTTACAGGGTGAGTTGCTGTTTTATAACCAGTGATAACTTGCAGTTACTCTTTGGAATACCTGAAGTTTCTGTCTAACAAAATTTCTTTTTATGTAAAACACATTGCAACTACAGAGAAAATACAAGTTTGAGTAACACAAGCCAAAAAGTAAAATAAAAATAACAAGAACTTTAAGTTTTCTTAGCAGCTTTGGCACCTTCTTGCTCAAGAAGCCACTGAGAATTAACTGAAAGCTTATTTCTTCCCATGGTTTGACATGTACTCATCCCATTTAAAGACACTGAACAAAATCTTTCAAGCTTTTCTGAGAGTAGGGGACTGATTCATAGGTAGCCAAAGGCTATTTTACACCATCTGTGCCTGTGCAAAGCAGCTGCAAAGCAGTCATAAGCACCCTGGCAAAGACCATCAGTGTAAAAACAATCATCTTCCCATCCCTGAAGGGTCTTGCAGCTTATGCAGCTGAAGTCCTACCTTTGATAAACCTATTAACTGCAGCAGTAAATATTCCCTCTGGATCTAGTTCTGCTATAAATGAAGGTGGAAAGGATTGTGCTTTGGTCTGCAGTTTCCTTGTGAGCCTGATCTAGAGATAGTTTTCCCTCAAGGACTGTGTGAACTAAGTTTAAGTTCAGGTTTTCCTCTTTACACTCTAATCAGGAAATAGGAATTATGTGCCAAAAATCAGAGTCTGCAATGTAACTTCTTGAATATAGAAACTTGAGCATAGGAAATTCTTAGAATCAGCAATAAAATAGTGGAATTTAATACTGGAATTAAATTGTACCAAGAAGCCAAAATTTTGAAGTTTTCAAAGTCAAACTGGATAGTTTTCTGGATAAAAAAGTAGATTTAGAGAAGAAAAGGAAGAAACTAATTGTTTTCAACCCCATGAGTGCTGAAAGTTTCAAATCTGTGGTCTGGAAATAACACAACCCCAAATTTTTAGAGTTCTTTCCTCATAAATTTGGGAGACTGACTTGCTCACACTCTGATGGCTTATAGTCAGGATTTCAAAACTCATTGCAGAAGTTGAACACAGGCATAGAGGCTCTTGGGATTTGAAATTCTGTATTGAAACTAGATCTGTACTTTCACTACCAGGCTAATGGCTATTCTTTGATGAATCTCTTTCCTATCACACACATAATTAAAATAATCAAGAATATCTTCTTGAGCACGAACAGTCTGAGAGAATTTTCTATCTTTGCTCAGAAGTTAGAGATACTTCCAGCACTTGACTGTTGTATTTTACCTCTGGGAGTACACAGGGTCAGACCATCCCTCAGCAATGATAGAGAAACCTGTCAATAACCAGTCTCGTGCACCACATGAACACCTGTCATTTTTTACTCTCCATCCTTGGAGGTATTCAAGACCTGACTGCATAGAGTTCGAAGTAGCTGATCTGACCTCATAGTTGACCCTGCTTAGAGCAGGAAGTAAGACCAGAGACCCTCCAATGTCCCTTCCAGACTGAATTGTTCTGTGACTCTCTAATACCCAGGTTGTTGCTACAGCAATAGCTCCCGTAGGTCAGGAAGTGTACACTGGCCATAGTCCAAATCCCTTTAGCCCTTTTAAATGTTGCTGATGCAGAGAAGCAGAGGAACAATAGGTGAGCACATTCTTAGAAATTTTTGACATTTCTTCAGGTAAATATCAGACTGCATTTTAAGAAATAAAAGGTGACTCTTTCCATAGCTGTCCTGAGGAAACAGGGCATAACATAAGGCAGGTAACCAGCAGCCGCTTTTAATTGGCAGCACTGGTTAAGGAGGGGTTCTTGCAAGTCCAGTTCCTTCAGAAAATAATTGTCATCACAGTAAATTCTCTGTTTATGAAATCCTCAACTCCTGAATTGGTTGTGTTCCTTTCAATACAGTAAATTTTCATGAAAGACCTTGAATAAAATGATTAGACTGTCAGAAGCAGTTAAATCAGTAGATTGCACAAACTTTACTGGAAATGATATGCAATGTGACATTTTTGTCTGTGAAATGCAGCTTTAGCATACGGCAGACACAACCATCATGACAATTATGTAAACAAGGTGATTCAACTTTTGCTGGTCAACATGCAGCATATTAGAACAAGCTCACAGATCCTTACTGGCAATTAAATACCTTTATTTACAGAGCAAGTTGTCATTTTACATTTGTGTATTGCTTGACATACTTATCCTTAGCACATTGGCCGGTACAAAGTTCCGGTATTGCCAGCCTGACTTTTTCTAGATCTTAAAGTGTGATTTTGAATCAAGACACCCTCATCAACATCATGCTTCAGATCTTTTGTGTTGTTCTTTTATGTTACTTCTGTTACTGATCATCAGAAGCGCTGACATTAGAAAATCTGGAGGTGTGGCAGAAGGTCAGTTGACCTATGACAGGCTGTTGAAAAGAGAAGAAATAAAAAATATGTGAGCAGTCTAAGCAAAGTATGGGCTGAGCTACAAGATTTTTGGTGAGGGATTTAACAGTATGACCTTACCCTTGCTATTCTGAGTAAAATAGTATTTATTATAAATGTATAATTATATAGTCACTAAGCAGTGGAATCTCATATGAAAACCTGATACATAGTTTATGTTTACATTTCTGAAAAAAAAATATTCATTTAATGGATAGGTTATTGAATATACAAGGGTCTTTCTAGTTTGTATCTCTGATTATTTCATTTCAGCCTTAGGCAAACTATGACACCGGTACAAGAAGGGTGCTATAAAAACAGGATGCAAATTTATTTAACCATCAGATAAGCCATAATTGTTGGCAAATATTGAAATACAGGGCTATATCTACAACTCCTTTGCTTTAAGTTGGTAGCAGGAAAAGAATCCACAAATGTTGGGATTTCATTCCCTTTTTCCTATAGCTTCATCCTCATCACCTGCTTTAACACCAAAGTCACTCTCAGCCCTAGGCATATAAAGATCCATCACTAGCCAGCCCTCTGGATCCACCCAAACATGCCCTCTGCAGCCAGGGACATAGTGTTGAAATGGAACCCAGGTGCAATCCGACAGGAAAGATCCTGCAGAAGGAACAGGTGGGTGGATACATGACTTTGCTGAAAGGGAAAGTTCTTTAGCAATAGGCATAGCAGTTCCCAATGGATTAAGTTAACTGCTGAAAAATCAGCTCTGAATTAATCTGGTTTGAATTAACAAAGGATTTTCTCGCTTCTAGTTCAAGACGAACTTAAAACACTCACAGCCATTCTCATACAGAAATGAAGACTTGATAGTACCTCCTTATGGTGTTAAAATATCCCCAGGTTTTTGAACTGGTTAACAGTAATTATCTGGACCTTCTATAAGTAGTGCAGCAGCATTTTTGTCCTCTGGATTGCCCATCTTGGTTCATAACTGATCCGGCCAGAATTGCATCTTATCCAAGCACTGTGCTCTGCCTCGACCTTCCATGGAAGAAGAATCCAGCTTCAAGTTCCAAGACATAGGAAAAAAATAATAATCTGGACCAGAGCTACAAATGACCTGGCATATCCAGAGGGGATGGCAGTAAACTATCTAAGTTGTCAAATCTATGTTCATCATCAGCTGTCTGGCAACAGATGACCAAATGCATGGCTACACAGAACTGTGTGTGGAAACAAGCTGTCTTCCTAAGGAAGAAAAGCTTACTAACAGTCCTGAAAGGATTTTCTGATCTCCTGTACATAAAATGTGTACTTCTACTCAAGAAGCTCTTTCAAATTAAACCTGTACTGTTCAAAGTTCTCATGTTGAAAGTGTTCTCAGGACTGTCTTCATTGATCGTTTCAGAGCTGACCAGGCTGACCAAAGCTCCGTAGGCTTGCTAGAGGTTAGGGCTGCAAACTCTAATGTCCTGAAAATGAGCTTTTGGAAATCATCAGGGCAGTTCATCGCCTTTGGGAGACCTGGAACCTAGATTCCAAGGACAGAAAGGCCAAAGTGTATCCCACTGAAACTGCAGGAAACTATTTTTTCACTAAGATATCTCAGATTTGAAGAACAAAATATAAAGTGGGAGATTGGCCCACCTCTTCACAAAATTATTTCTAAACTCAACCAAATGTTTGATTTGTGACAAGGAAGCCCTGTTTATTTTGATTTCCTCTGATAGATCTTGACTGTCTTCCTAGAAAGATCTGTAAAGAGGTGTGTGTTTGTGTTGGAGAAAAAGTCACCCCCAAGTACTGGAGATTGGTTTTTATTGTCCTTTCTGTTTCTTATTCTGTTCTCTCAAACAAAAATTCAGATTATTTCATCAAGAAGTATTTTGGAGAGCAGACCAGAGAATATTTGGTCCATAGCCATAACATGTGCTTCTCAGTCATAACATTTTTCCAAAGAACCTGGGAGGACTGAGTATATGATGGGATCTGCCTTGTCTGTTAAATTGGGAGACCTCCAGTAATTTTCCTTTCCTTCATTTTGTTGCCATTTCTATCCTTTCTTCTTCAAGTATCATCTATTGACTATTCCCATTTAGTTTTCATGTTTCTTGGTTTTTTCTCAGAATCCTACTTTGTGGGAATTTTATTTGTTACTTTATCCACCGGATGAACACAGCCCAACACAAAATATTTATCTTCAGTTGTAACTAAAGCTGCTATTTGGCTTTCTTCCCAAAACCCAGAAAGACAATTATACCTAACTGTTTAGAGATTTATAAATACTGTACCAGAGTAGCCTCTGGGTAGTAACTTTAGATATCCAACTCAA